TGTGTGTGTGTGTGTATAATTCCTGATACATGGTACCTTTTATCATTTTGAAGTGTTATTCTTTGTTTCTTGTAATTGTTATTAGTTTAAAAGTCTTCTTAATATCCTATTAACAGCCATTCCTGCTTTCCTGTAGTTAACTATTTAATCATATATTCCTTTACAGTCTTTTACTTTAGGTCTATTGGTGGGTTTGTCTTTTTAGATTTTGTTATCATTGGGTCTCGCTTTTTCATTCCATTTGACCATTTCTGCCTTTGTGTGAATTTTTAGGGCCATTATAGTTAGTGTAATTATCCAAAGTAAGTCTACTGTTCTATTGTTTGTCCCTGTTTGTGTTCCACTTTTCTTCCTTCCTGCCTTCTTTTCTGATGCTCAAATATTTTAGTATCTCATTTTAATTTCTATATTAGCTTTTAGCTCTATATCTGTATTAGTTTTTACTGATTGTTCTAAGGATTACAATTTGTATCCAAATTACATCAGTCTCCTTGGAGTTAATATTTAATTACTTCAGATAAAATATATTTCCATTTAGCCTCCTAAGCATGCTATTATTGTTACATATATTATATCCATATTGTTATATACTCATCAATGCAGTATTGTAACACTTGCTTAAACAGTCATATGTCTTTTAAAGATACTAAGAGAAAAAAGAAAATGTATATATTTTATGTACAAAGGAGCTTCGAAAAGTTCATGTGAAAATTCCATTAACTTTTAATTCCATTCTTCCACTCAAACTCTGCGGCCCCTTCATATTTACCTTTTCTGGTGCCTTCATTCCTTCTTATAGATCCACATTATAGCACTTTTATTTTACCCTCTGTTAATTTTCCCAGTGGATTGTAAGATCCTTGTGGCCAGGGATGTTGTTTCTGGCTCTGTAGGATGAGCACTGGATAGCAAACTGCAAGGTTGGCAGTTCAGACCCACGAGTCGCTCCTTGGAAAGCCTATACAGGATGGTTATGAGTTGGAGCCAACTCAACGGCACTTAACAACATCTCCAATACTTACACTACTACTTGACACATAGTTGGAGCTATTATAAACTAAACTAAAATAGATATTTTCATAATTGAGGTAAAAAACAATGAACTGATAAACAGATTTAACAGAGAAATATATACTATTTGGAAAAAGAAATATTAGGTTACAATATTTAAATGAAATAGAAAGTAACTCCTTATGTCTGAAAAGGTTACTTAAATCATGATATTATGGATTGTTATTTGTTCAGTTATCATGTACTCAGGGAACACGGTGACTCTGTAGGATAAGCACTGGACTGCTAACCACAAGGTTAGGAGCTCAAGCCCACCAGCCATTTTCTGCGAAAAAAAGTGAAGCTCTGCTTCCACAAAGATTTACAGACTCAGAAACCCTGAACAGGGTCAGTATGAGTCAGAACCAAGTCAGTGGCACTTAATAACACAAAAAATATATATCTCATGGTAAAAATTCCATAGTTGCCAGTAATAGTAAAAGAAAAAAAAAGAGTAGAACAGAAGTTCTGAGATTTTAGAAACCAGATAAATGATTTCTGTATTATAGAGAGCTACATGAAATTTGTCTAGGGATTCAGTGAATCTGATGTGTTTTTAATATTATATCTGTATAGTACATATTTTATTTATATATTAATTTATTGATATCTCCCCCTCCCCCCCCCTTTTTTTTTTAGTATACTGTGTGGAATTTTGTTCCAAAAAATTTATTTGAACAATTCAGAAGAGTGGCAAACTTTTATTTTCTTATTATATTTTTGGTTCAGGTAAGTTTGTAAATTGGGTTTCTAAAACTGTCTTAAGGAAAAATTATATCTCAAAATGGGTTAATAAAAAAAAGAGCGTTTCATAATGGCCAGTGGTAGGAATGCTCAGATTTTTTTACTCAGGTTTTCTGAGTGCATTTAATATTTGAATATGTATTAGGACTCTCCTGGAGCAAAATGTAATATGTATTGTGTTCTTAAACATTTGGTGATAGGACCATTTTCTCTGCAGAGCTTCATTAATGTTTCAGTGAATGAAGTGATGTATACCACATACGTAGATTTCTAAGATAATTATTTTTTGTTTCAACACTGATACACTGTAGAGCTAAAAACCAGAATCCAAGCCATGGGTGGGGAACCTTTTTCTGCCAAAATTTATAACATCATTTGGGGGCTATACAGAATTATCAACTTGAAAGTCAGTCTGTTGTGTTTGGTCAAACATTCAATTAACTCAGCCCTAATGTGGGTTACTGGATTGTGAACCAAATTCAAACCCTCTAACTGCTCCTTGGAAACCCTATGCAGGGTCACTGTGAATTGGAATTGACTCCACAGCAGTTAACAACAACTACACGATATGATGGCTGGAACTGCCAATTGCCTTGGCAGGGTCAGACCAAATGATTTCACGGGTCTTATATGGCCCATGGGATGGATGTTCCCCACCCCTGGTTTAAACTTAGAACATCATCTGCTATCTTTCAGATATTCTACTTCACAGTATTTTGGCTTTTAGTGTATAGCACATATTGTTTGGGGTTCCTTTATGCCTATGGAACCATCTTTTCACAAAGTACATTTTCCTTTGACTTTTAAGTTTGTTAATTAATCCCCATTAGTATAGATTCTGTATTCAGGGAATTGTGTTATTGATAAATCTGTGTTTATTCAGATCTGTTTTGACAATTTCTTGATTTTCTTATTATGGTTTTATTGTGTGTGTGTGTGTGTTTGTACACACATGTGTATTGGTGGAACCAGGGATATTTGTAGCATTGACTACAGAATAAACTTAATGGGTTTTGTACAGTATTTGGAATTTGTCTTACAATTTTTATATCAAAATACCAAGAGACCAGCCTATGGAATCTGAATACAAGTCAAGATTTAAAAATTGCAATTGTCATTTTCTTTTAAAGATCATGTTTTCTGGTAACTATAGCCTCTTTAGTGTGCTATTGAATTTTTGTATAATTTCTGAACTTCTGTTTTAAATGGACCTGAGATATTAAAAGAAAAACACCTTGTCAAGTAATTACTTTAAAGCTGTAGATAGAATTTCCTTTTCTTAAAAAGTGGCTTTCCTTTCTGAATAGAAAAGACACTTCTGATTTTCATCATTAGAACATCAGCTTGGTTTTCTCAGAGAATTGAGGAATTTATACTAGCTTTATCCACATAACTCACATAGCATGCATACATTTGTGAAATTATTAGCCAAGCTCAGGAATTCAGCAAGTCTGTGGAATAGAACAAATTTAATTGGCCCACACAGAGAAAAGGAACATTAATAAATCATTAAAAGAGTATCATAACTAACCAAACATAATTACTGCAAATATTCGTTTACTTTACCTGTAGTTTGTTAAAATCACAATTCTATGATTTCATTCATAATTGCATCATTTTCCCAGCTGTATCCTGTGGCTCTCATGGGTATAACAAATCACTTATAGAAAAAAACCTTTCCTAATTCCACTCTATCATGATGAGTTTATTCTGAATTTCAGGGTAAATATTGCATGCAAACTGTTCAGCATTTACCTAGATGTACAAAGAAATGTGACATGAAAGCTAAGCAGCTGTAGCTGTATTCCTAGGCAACTATTGAGGAAGACCTCAAGTACTCTGTTAAGAGAGTAGAATGTCCAAGTTTACTGTAGCAGTATATTTCAGCATGCAATAGATTTAAGTATTCCACAAGCCCCATATAGTAGCCAACAGTGTAAAGTTGTGAACTAAAATATACCTAGTATGTGTTACTGTGGGTCACAATGTATATTTTGTGTATTCTTGAAGTTGTCAGTAATTCTGGGAATTTAGATATTACTAGTGTGACATATGGAGTTCTGGTGTGGTGCTGTAGGATAAGGACTGGACTGATAACTGAAACATTGGCAGTTCAAACCCAGCAACCACTCCTCAGAAACCACTCCTCATTGTCTGTGAGTCTGAACTGACTTAATGGCACATAATAGCAATAACAGTGTGACATACAATATAAAAATATAATACTCTGTATTATTTCTTTTATATAGCTTATGATTGATACACCTACCAGTCCAATTACCAGTGGACTTCCATTATTCTTTGTGATAACAGTAACCGCCATAAAGCAGGTATGAAATGAAATGCTTTCTATTGTTGACTTCCCTTATTCCATTCACAAGTTGTTAAATATTTCCTCTTAAAAGTAACATTTATTGTTGTGATAATAATTTCCATAAGAAAGCAGCAAACCCTGCATATGGTAAAATCATTTTACCTTGCCTGTGGTAAGCTTGAGCTGCTTCAATCACTTTATATTTCAGGTACTTATAACCCTTGGAGTAATTACCATTGTTAGGATAGCTTGTGTGGGACTCTAAGAAGAAAACTCCATTTTCTACTTAGGCTAAAGCACGTCTCCCTGTTTCAGGAATGTGCCTGGTCAGTTAGTACCAGACGGAGATGACCCCCTTCCCCTACGACTCTCCTGACAAACCCAAGGCTAGATAATGTATGTCTTCCTTACCCTAATTAAACTGTCCTAGCGTAACAAACGCCTTCCTTATCCTAATGAAGCTCTCCTAGCTATAGGTAGTGGCCAATCGAATTGTGCAATCTCGTACCTTACCAAGTGTAAACCAATCCTAGAGAAATTAGGTAGAAGACCCCCGAATCTCTTTGTAAAAATCTATAAAAACCCCGCTACCAGGGAGCTCAGGGCTCTATCCCTATTCCGCTGCTTCGGATAAGGTTAGAGACCTGGCTCGAGCTTGAATAAACAACCCTTGTGTGCTTGCATCGGGTTCGGCATCAACTCCTCGGGTAGTTTTTGGGGACCCTGAACTCTGGTCATACCACTTGTTCCCTTGACACACCTAGAAAGCTTCCAAAGCAAGCCTTGTATACATGCAAACCAATTTCATTATGAAATCGATTATTTGTTTATAATCATCTATTCTAAAACGGTTCCCTGAACTCCAGACCTAAAGATCTAAAGATCGGAGGTTCACGCCAACCCAGAGGTGTGTCAGAATAAAGGCCTGGTGATCTATGTTCAAAAAATCAGGCATTCAAAACCCTATGGAGCACACAAGTGTTGGCTATGATGAGAATTGATTCAATGGAAACTGAAAACTGGAAGTAAAAAGGTGTGATGAAAATCAGGAACACAAGTACCAGGAAAACCAAGAGAAGAAATGTTTTCAGTAGAAGCAAATGTTGCCTTCTGATGAGTGTGTGTGTATGCATCACAATATCCTAAGATAATTTTCCTCAATGAAGCGTTACGAGGTTTTGCTTGCTTGTTTGTTTCTCACCTGATAAACGTAACTTCAAATTCTACTGAAAAAGTTTTTTGTTCTTTTGATATTAATAGGGATATGAAGATTGGTTACGACATAATTCAGACAATGAAGTAAATGGAGCTCCTGTTTATGTTGTTCGAAGTGGTGGCCTTGTAAAAACTAGATCAAAAAACATTCGGGTATGCATCTGGTAAATAACAGAAATCAATTCTATTTTCTCATCATAGCACCTAATTCTAATCTAATTATGTTTCCTGTTATGTTAAAAGCCTGTTTTCCTACATTAAAACGTTATAACAGGCCACTTGGTTAACACCCAATAAAATAAATCCTTGCCGCTTAAAATTTGTATACTCACTTTTCCCCAAATTCTTCACAGGTGGGTGATATTGTTCGAATAGCCAAAGATGAAATTTTCCCTGCAGATTTAGTGCTTCTGTCTTCAGATCGACTAGATGGTTCATGTCATGTTACCACTGCTAGTTTGGATGGAGAAACGAACCTGAAGGTTTGTTCATGTATATATTTGAGTGGTTCTTGGTGAGCAAAACTTCTTTGGTTTATAGCAATATTTTCCTTTGGTTAAGGTAATGAAATTGGGTTTCATAAGAAGAACTTTTTTTTAAGAATTCTTTTTTCAAAAAGAATGTTGCTATTATTTATTTCCAAGTAGTTTCACATGGTTTAATCAACTCAAGTTAAAAATGGGAAGTATTTTTAGGAACAAAAACCCCTTTTAATATTTTTTATGCTTTTCAGATGAGGGACAAATTAAAATTTTCTGTTTTCAGAGTATAAACCATGATGGAAATTCACACATTTCCCTATTAAAAGTAATAAAATGCTTGTAATAAACTTGTTAGTGACTAAACGCAAATTTAATTCTCCTTAATATGCAGATTATCTCTAGACTGGTAATGAAGACGCATCCTTTCCTTCTTGTTTATTTTACATTCTCCTTTCCTCTTTTTTGCTGTCTAGTAGAGTGTTCTCAAGTACAGTGTGCTGTGATTTCCTCTATTACAAAGAAAGAAAAAACTAGATGATATGTAAGGCCCCTTTATGATCTTGAAATTGTGCAATTTAGTCTTTTTATTCCCTACACCAGACACATGTGGCAGTTCCAGAAACAGCAGTATTACAAACCGTTGCCAGTTTGGACACTCTCATAGGTGTGATAGAATGTCAGCAACCAGAGGCAGATCTGTACAGGTATGGTGTAATATTCGGCATATTTATTTTAAGTTCTATTTTCGTACTTCATTTACAAAGCCATACACATATGAGAAGAACCTTTAGCTAATTGAAGGCATTACAAGGGAGGTGGTGGTGGTTGTGTGCTGTGGAGTTGGTTCTGACTCAGCAACCCTACATAGAGTTTCAGAGGCTGTAAATCATTATAAAGCAGAAAGATTCATCTTTCTACTGCTAAATGGATGGTAGTTTCAAACTGCTAACCATGAGGTTAGCAGTCCAACTCATAAGCACTATGCTTTACAGGGAGGAGAGAGTTGCAATTTAAGGAAAAGAAAATTAAAGGCTGAGTTCTAAGCAAATTAATATGAAAACAATATTTTTATTCACTGGTATCTTTCTGGAGTCCTGGTGTGGCATTATAGGATAAACACTACACTACAAGGTTGGTTTGAACCACAAGGTCGGCAGTTCAAACCCACCGGCGGCTCCTCAGGAACCCTATAAAAGGTCACTGTGAGTCAGAACTAACTTGATAACACCTAACAACAGCAGTATCTTTCTGTACCTTCTATTTTGTTAGAACTAGCACGAACACTTTATAACTAGAATAGCAGTAGTACAACTAAGGTTATTTCTTAAGGAAAAAAATTCCCCGGTGATTTTTTTTTTTTTGGTAGGCTCCATGAAGGCAAGGATTTTGTTTTGTGTTCACTTTGTATTCCAGTGTATAGTATACTGCTTTCTTTTCTTTGTATGTAGTAGCTTGAAATTTTTTTTTTTAGGAAATGTTATATGAAATATTTTGTAGGTTCCACAAGAAGGCTTCAAAAAGTTTGTGAAAAATAGAATTAAACAATGGAAATTTTCCACAAACTCTTTGAAGGACCCCTAAGATGAGAAACATTAGATTCCAGTAGGAAGCCCAGAAGTAGTACTCCTTAACAGATTTCTCCATACATTTCCAAAGACAGGTGGAATTTTCCTGTGCTTATTTTGGAAAACGTCAATGGGCTATTGGTGCTTGGTAAAGAGAATTCAGTTCTTTCTTGATCAAACATCACATGAACTTTGGCAATATCTCTAGTAGCCTATGTTCTGATAAGAACATGAGAACTTTGGTAAGACTGTAAGGACTTGGCAATGTCACTAGTTTCCTTGATCTCACACATTAACCAGCTCTCTGTGCACTTAGCAGATGAGCCTGGCAGCAGTCTCAGGGAGAGCACTGTTGTCTTACTACAGTCCTGAAGTTGATTGTAATGGGCCATTTTCACTGGATTTCCATAGACAGAAGAAGAGTAAATACACTTTTCTCAGACCTGTGCGGACACAGGTTCTACCTGAGCCAGAACAACACAGAGCCCTCGCTAAGGGTAACCTACTAGAGAGAAATCTCAAAGCAAAATAAATTGGGGAAATTTACTAGAATCAAGAATGATAGATCTCTGTTCAGTTGGAATCCAGCCTTGTATCACAAATGAGTGCCATAAAATGTCCTATACTCGTCATATAGGCTTTAAGACTTTGTAAGAATTGTCTTCAAATGATCTGCTCTTATTTCAATTTAGAATGGGAATGACACTTTCTGGGAACAATGCAAACTGTATCCATCATGCAAAAATTTACATCGACAGATTTGAGGATTTGCAGAAGTCATGTTGTGACCCATTTAGCATATACAAAAAAACTAGCTAAAAAATGTACCTGTATTTGACTTAGATGATGCTATTTTTCTGAATGTAACATTTGGAAGACAGCTTGTACTTGGCTGTAAGCTTTGACCAAAATGTATGCAGATAATCAGTGTAAGTGTGGGTGTTGATTCTGATATGACCACCAGAGGAAAAACATGATTCAGATGGAAAAATTGCCAAAGTTTTGAGGTCATTACAATTTGTAAACCCAGGAAAGCAAACAGAATATGCTCCAGAAACTGGTAAAAGAGAGAAGGGATGGCTTACAAAAAATGCATCAGCTGGTTCAGACAGACAAGTGATATCGGCAGAGAGCAAGGTCATGGTAGCTGGGGTCTCCTGACTATCATTGGATGGACCTCTGCACTGCTTTGATGGAAGCTACTTGCGATGTTTCTCTGTGTGTCTTGCCTGTGCTTCTACCAAATGCGGAGCTGAGTGCCGCTGTGACCACAGGTGGCTTTATGAGCAAACTGAGATAGGAAGAGAACTAATTCATAATAAGCATGCAGGATAATTTGTGGTGTCAGCTAGAAGGTCCTTTAAATATCCTTTCTCTAGTTGAATATTCTGTCATTCTAAAGCTATGCTACCATGTTAAACTTGACTGCCAAGTAACAGATTTGAAAAGCACCTTAAAGTGTACAGTTGTTGTATTTGGGGTGCTTCCAGGTACATTATTTGATTTAAATTCTGGGTCATTGTAAACAAGTAGAGCATGCATGGTTCCAGTATGCACAAGGAGTTCTAGTGTTACACTGTGGGTTAATGCACTGGACTGCAAAGTTGGTTTGAACCACAAGGTTGGCGGTTCAAGCTCACCAGCTGCTCCTTGGAAGCCCTATATAGGGTTGCTGTGGGTTGGAACCGACGCGACGTGTCACTTAATAACAACAAATATGTACAAATTTCAGTTACCACACTTTGGTTAAATAACCAGTTTCCTACCAACACTGTTCAAATTTCATATACCACAATTTATTAACTGTTTAATTGTATAAAGTACAAACTTACCTACTAACTCGTTAGTCCTCATATCATTAAATAAATAACAGATGTACATCTTGAGCAGTGATCAGTCACATCACTTTCAAAAATGTATCGTGATTACCACACATCATTAATTCATTTCACACACAGCAAACCTGCTGTTGTGCTGTCTCCTTGTCACTTGTGTGACCTTTTACAAACATGAATAACTGAAAGAGAGGTGGCCAACAAAGATGAAGGTACAGCAAAGAAATGAAAAGCAGTCCCACTGGAAGTGAAATTTGAATCAAACATATGTAGAGTTAGTTATAGAAGAGATAACGGATCATGGACATGTGGGCACTATTGTTCTTCCAGCCTGACTCTAGAACATGCAGGCAGATTTCTAGAGCCACATTCTAGATATGCAGCCAGGAGAACTTAGTGAAGACAAACTTAAAAAATAGTCGTGAAGAAAAGGATAAATATGCCCCAAAGGAAATGATGCGAGAAAAAAAAAAAAAACTTAAGGAAAATCTGAGAGCTATTTCACAATATTGAAAGCACGAAGAATAAAATGCTGGAAGCTATTACAAACTTAAAAGGTATGAAAATTTGCTAGGGTATACAAAAGATGGTCATTTAGTATCATACGTTACTCAACAAAAAGAAGGCAAACACGTTTACATTACTCTTCATTCATTTTTTACAACAAAATAAAACACCTTCATTCTTAATGTTTTTAGTATTAGAAAGTACACCATATTAAGTAAATTATTATTTACTGTTTTTATTTTTTGTGTCCTGGTGTGCCGCTGTGGGCTAATGTATCAGACTACAAAGTTGTTTGAACTGCAAGGTCGATGGTTCAAGCTTACCAGCTGCTCTTTGGAAACCCTATATGGGGTCGCTATGGGTAGGAATTGACTTGATGGCATTTAACAATAACAACATCAATACATTTATAACCAGTATTTTGACAAACTGCTTTTGATACAACTGACTAGTTGAGTTTTAAACTGTTTTATAAATAATCTACATATCTAAATGCTAATACGTATAATTGGTCTTACTACTCCAACTTTTCAATTAAAAATAAATGTTTTAATATTTTAAACCTTTAAACAAAATGACCTTTCCTCAGCTAAGCAATATTTACCCAGCTGAGACTACAAAATCATGATTTCTTCAGTCCTTCATCTAGAATCCAGATCTCACAGCCACCCATAGACACTAACATGTAATATTGTATACCACTTTATTCATTTATACTCCTTTTTAAATTGGGGGTATAGTGGCTCCATACGATAAGCATGAACTGACCCCGACTGCTTGTAACATATACAAGGGGAATATTGAAAGCATTTAAAATTTCCAAGTAGGAGAATTCTTAGATAGGTATATGATGCAAGTATAAAGTGATATCAATATTAATAGTGACATTTTCAAAGAATTCCTTGACATATGAACGTGCTTGAAATACAATGTAAAATAAAACAAGATACAAAGTTATAGCATTGATATGATCCCAGTTATATAAAAATTATGTATATGTATCAGAAGAGTCCTAGTGTGGCACTGTAGGATAAGCATTGGACTGCTATCTGCAAGGTCAGTTCAAACCTGCTTCTCAGAAACCTTATACAGAGTCAGGATGAGTCAGAACTGATTTGATGGCACTTAACAACAACATATGTATTAAATGGGCTGCTGGTGGCACTGTAGGATAATCACTGGACGGTGAACCACAATGTCTGCTGGTTTGAGCCCATTAGACACTCTGGGAGAAAGATGAGGACTTTATGCTCTTATGATAACTTATAGCCACAGAAGACCCTATACAGAGCTGCTTTGAGTCAGAATCCATCAACTATATAATTGATAGCACCTAACAACAACAACAACAACAACAACATATACATTAGATAGGTAGTTAGGTTACAAGACAGAAAAACGAATAGTTAGATGTTGTTTTGTGTTGTCGAGTTGATTCCAACTCATGGCAACCCTGTATAGGGTTTCTGAGAGAGACTGGTAAGTTTGAACTGCCAGCTTTGAAGCTACCAGTCCAGTGCTTATCACACAGTGCCACATCAGGTCTCAGATAGCTATATAAAGAAAGAAAAGTCTAGAAAAATATGTACCAAAATGTTAGTTGTTATTTTGAGATAGGATTTCAGTGGCTGTTTAGATTTAATGTCTTCCCATATTTTTAAATATTTCTTCAAAGAATATGGATTACTTTTGTGAATAAAATAAATGTTTTCCATTTTATTGTATGGTATATATTCTTAATGATCATGTTTATGATTATAATGATGCAAGGTTGGTGGTTTAAGCCCATCAACCACTCTGCAGGAAAAAGATGTGACTGTTGTCTGTTCCCATAAAGATTTATAGCCTTGGAAACCCTATATAAGGCCACTGTGAGTCAGAATTGACTCTGTGGCAGTGGGTAATGAAGCTAAAGCTGCCAACGATGAAGACTCTGTAGCCTGAAAACAGGAGGGAGAATAGGGAACATTTGGAAGGGAATGTTTAATATTTCTTTGTCAAGTTAAGTGATCTGCATGATATAGTTTGCTTCAACTCAGAATTTACTTCTTATTCAAGTAGAAAGTGGAGTCCTGGTATAGCGCTGTAGGATAAGCACTCTACCACAAAGTCAATTTGAGCCATAAGATTGGTGAGTCAAACTCACAAGCTGCTTATCCAGGGTCCCTATGGGTGAAAACCTACTTGATGTCACTTAACAAGAGTAGAAAGTAATTGTATAATTGAATTGATGCTATGCTGTGGAGCTGTGTTGGTGGTGGGAGTTGGAATGGAAAGACTAAGATATGAAAATTGATTATCATAACACACCACTCACTCTAGATTTCAGGCAACCAGAAGTTTAGCTATGAACACTCATGGTGTGTTTTTGCATACTACTTTGTACTGACTACTTATTCCCATATTGTAAGTGTACAGTGACTATTAGTTGAATGAGTAAGTGAGTAAGTGGTAAATTGAATCCAGCAGACTTTAGTAAACCATAATGAAATATGTTATCATTTCTTATTGGCTAGATAATGCTAAAAATAATTTTTATAACACTTTTAAATTCTCATAATGACCATACTAAAAATAATAGTAATAATATGTAATATTCACATTGCCATTTCAAAAAACATTTTTTATTCCTTACCTGATTCATAACTGTGGAATAGAGGTGGTAAGAATATCGAAGTTTTTAAAGCTTAAAGACTGATAAATGTTAATTTTGACCATTTCTAACAAACTATTAGACTACTCATATGTATACACATTGGATTTTGTTTCATATATAAGAATAGTACCAACACCATGTCTAGAATTTTCTACCTGTTGATGTGTTAAGTGACATATAATACTGTATCGTGTTTTTGTAATATGGTGAATTCCTTGATAGATTCATGGGACGGATGATAATAACTCAGCAAATGGAAGAAATTGTGAGGTAAGAACAAATCTATACAATCTGTTACTTTTAAATGAAAACTAGGGGAGAAAATAAAATCAAGTTAAAGGAAAATTGAATAATAAATAGTGTATCTTGGCAAAAAGTTACTTTTTTGATTTAGCATTTCATCTTCTTAAAGTTTATAGTAGCAGGAAGTAAGAATGAAACAAATCCCATGAAAATGATGTTAAAATAATTTAGTAGGACTACTTGCAAATTATGTTTATTTTTCTAGTAATGGTAGGTAGTAGCATTAGAATGGAGCATGATTTTTCATTTAGATCCTTATATTTTTTAACCCACAACACTGAAGGTGTAGATTATAAAATATGTTTTATATAATGTGCAACATATAAATGATATTGTCTTCACTTCAGAATCATTCACCATAAACTAGAGTATTTATTAACTCTCTGGGAATCTCTTAATTTTATTGTTTGTTTTAGTTAGTTTTATTTTCCCTCATATTCTGGGTTAACAAAAGAGTTTGCATTATTTCAAAGAGTTGCTGGTAGAATGAGATTGCACTACCAGCACTACATGACCACAGGCCTTCTTTAGAATCAGTCATAGTATGTCAGTCCTTGAATTTCTAGTTAAATTTGCTTTCCACTTTTCTGGAGATGTGTTTATACTGGCCACGTGCAATAAAATTCATTACTATAAATTCATTACTATAAAGAGTTGAGCATTTTTAAGCTGAAATCCTCAAGACAAGCCATGAAAAATATTGTAGATCAGCACTGATTCACTTCTTAAATAAACATTAACTTAGGAAGGCACTCAATAAACTCTGTTAACAGTCTTTGTATGTTGGATTCTGTTAAATAACTATGACTGGTTTTATTTTGATAGTAAACTGGAGTCCTGGTGGGGTGCTGTTAGATAAACTGACAGCAGGGACAACAGTTCACTCCTTGGAAACTCTCTGCAGGTCACTGTGATTCAGAACTGACTCAGTGGTGCTCAACAACAACAACAATAGTAAAATAGAAAATGTGTGGATACTTTAGTCTGAATTACATTAAGATAGTATAGCTTGTAAGGGAAAAGATCAATTATGTTACCTCAGCTCTTAGAGTGATTAAACAATTGGCCATATTCTTTAGTGAAGCATTCTATAAATGAACTGGATGAATTAACTTTTCATCTGAAACTGTGTCACTATAACCCAATTTCTTATGCCTTTGTGAGCTCACAACATTTCTGTTCATTATTGGAACAAAACTGAGTAAAATAGACTATCATATGGCACCTGAATAGTTAGTTATCACATTGGTTTTTGAATGGCCTGTAAATATAGCTGTTTAGTATACCTACACTTGTTAATCATGTCCCAAACACCCAACCATGATTCATTGCATTTTTTCAAATAATGGTTGGTTGTTTAGACATCTTTATAATTGACTCAAATTCTGTTTGATTTGGATAACTGCATGTATTTTTCAGTAAATTGTAGAGTATCAACAAAAATAAAAGACTTTTCTTTATAACTTATCCATAACACATTCAACATTTTTTATCACTAAGAAGATACAATTTTCTTTCTAGTTATTCCTTCTCACTTTATATCTCCTTCATGGAGAGACAAACAGCAAGAAGACCAGTGCTCCAAGATGTATTCAATGCAAGTAGTCAAGTTGTCCTGTGCAAGCTTGCCTAGACAGAGCACTAACACACTCTCTACATTGTTTTGTAACCCAGCTTAATTTTAATTGTGCAAAACTCATGCATTCATGTACAAATCATACATTTATGTTCACATTACATCATAATTCTGTATTTTTCCTTCTAAACTGGTTTATTAATCTTGCTCAAACTTATTAAAATTTTATCTTTTGCTAAAAAATCTTAAATCATTGGCTTAATCTTTGATTTTCTTGCATTTTACATTTAAAGTTTTTGTAACTGGTGGTTTTGTAACTTTATTTACAGATAAAATGTTATTTCTGAGCCTGCTAATCTTAAAGCGACTGAAACGCAGGTATTTCTTTTTACTATGAATCCAGGCGGATTCATAATAACTGGAATATCGGTTTCATATCAAAGCAATGTTGTAATTATAGCTTTAGTGCTGTTTACTAAGATATGACTTTAGAATTGGATTGAATTTTTAACATATCCAGTGTTTTTTGGGTTGTGTATTTTCAGACCCCTGGGGCCAGAGAGTCTCTTGCTTCGTGGAGCCAGATTAAAAAACACAAAAGAAATTTTTGGTTTGTACATATTTTAAATAGTTCTAATTATGATTCATATTTTTGCTTTTTATGAAGTATTTTAAAATAGTAAACCTTTGTGGCCTTGTGATTGAATAATTTATCACTATATCACATATTGCTTGTGATAATGATTTTCTTGCAAAGATTAAGTATTATATGTTTTATTGACTCTTACTTTTGAGTAATAGACTAAACCTTATTCTTGTATTACCTTTGTGGGTATTTGTGAAATTTAGGTCTAAGAAGTTGTTGTAACTCTTCTAAGCTCCCTGTATCAGTGAAAAACAGTTGAGTAACTGGGTTTCTCAAAAATTGGACCTGAAAACCTCTTAAAACTTCTGAGAAGACTTAAAGGAAGTCAAATTGTAACAACTCCCAGACAGTACATTTTGTGAGAAGCTTTCCATGTTAGTATATGCCTTTCTTGTGAAACATGCTAGGGGATTATTTTTAATGACTTTTGCTTTGCAGGTGTTGCTATATACACTGGAATGGAAACTAAGATGGCATTAAATTACAAGAGCAAGTCACAGAAACGATCTGCAGTAGAAAAGTAAGGAAACCATTGTATTTATATATAAATATAATTATGAATCTATTTATTTATAGATGTATAATATGGTGTGGGTGTGTGTCAAGTCAAATCAACAAAAGGTAATATAAGTGCAGAACCCCTAAATGCTCCTTGGTATAGCAGTTGAGTGCCTGGATTTCCCCAAAATTGGACTTGAAGGACTCTTAAAAACTTTGAGAAGACTTAAAGGAAGCCAAATTGTAACAATTGGAAGGAGGGGCAGGGAGGAAATTGCTTTCTTCTTTTTCTGTTGTTGTCTTTTTCTTTTTTTAATGTAATGGAAGGGAAACTATGTTTATTTTCTCATTAAAAAAAGAGCTTATATATTATTTTTGTTTGAAACATGAAGGTCAGGTTGCTGTGGCAGCATCTTCTGTGTTATCATGACATGTTACATGTTTAATACCAAACAGTCTGATCTCTTATTCCACTTTAATAATTTCATTTTCTCTAGTAACATGGCCTCTATAATGGGAATTATGATATTCAGAAATGTTTTTGAAGACTGCTTCGTATAGTAAAGTGAGTAATTCTGAGAAAAAAAGATATCCTTGAAGGTAGGGATAGATTCTTATATTTTTGTATAAGAAAAAGCCAGGGTACTGTCCAGTCAGTTCTAATTCATGGTTACCCCATATGTGAAAGAGTAGAACTGTGCTCCATAAGGTAACAAGGAGATGGGAGTAGTTTAGTGCAAAGAGATGAGAATTTAGAACCAGACAAAATTAAAGATTTGAACTTCAGATTCTCTACTTAGTAGCTACATGGTCTTGGATCTGTTATTTAATTCCTTTGAACCAAGAGTTCTTCTCATCTGTAACTATGTGAGCAATGTTTGTCTAGGAGAATTTCATACTACAGGTGAGGTATTCAACACTGAGCTTAACACATAGCTGCTAAACAAAATATTCATTCCTTTCTTGTGCTCCTTACTCCCACTACAGTATAGAGTTTATATCGGAGAGAAGTGGAATAACAAGTTGTTACATAGTTAGGCTCTGGTAGCGTATTGGTTACGAATGGGGCTGCGAACTGCAAGGTCAGCAGTTCGAAACTACCAGCTGTTCTGTAGGAGACAGATGACTGTTTCTGCTCCCTTAAAGATTTACAGTCTCCGAAACCCTGTAGAGTGTCACTATGAGTCGGAACCAACTCCATGGCACATACCCACCACCACTACGTAGTTAGGATAAAGCTAAGACAGGGAGTGCCTCAAGGGCAAAGAATTCTGAGATCAGGCATTTTAGGAAGCCTGTGACCAATATTTTTCCTCTGCATGGGCATCATTACACATTCTATTTATTTTGTGTATATATTTTAATTTTTAATGATAAAAAGTTTATTTAATTTTACCAAAAATGTAAGTCTTTAAGCTGAAAATTGAAGACTTATAATAGGATAAGCACTGGACTGCTAACCACAAGGTCAGCTTTTCAAACTCACCAGCTTCATCTCAGAAACCCTAGACAGGGTCCCTATGAGTGCAAACTGACTCAATAACATTCAACTACAGCAATGAAGAAAAGAGGAATTCTAAAGTCAATTCCTAACTTTTATGATCTTAGAAAATGTATAGAATCATTCTGGGGCTTTGTTGTCTTCATCTGAATAAAGGGTTAATGTGTTGGATTGCAAAGTCAGTTTGAACTGCAAGGTAGGTAGTTCAAGCTCACCAGCTGCTCCTCGGAAACCCTATACAGGGTCGCTGTGCGTCAGAACCAACTCGACGGCACTTAACAACAACAGTCTTCTTACAGAATTTTACTGTTCCCCCCCACCCCCAACTCAGGGCTTTTATATAAAGATTAGTCAAATATGGTTGTGACAAAAGCTATATAAAATGTTAACATTACATAGATGTTATTTTTATACTTATAATTAGGTAGGTCCTGAAAATGTAAAAATCTTAGACTTATGACTATGGCCCAAGCTATCATTTTTACTATAAGCATTTTGTAAGCAGTATGAATTGGTTCTTTTATTGCTAGTAAAATGATTCTATGGATGATCGTTTCTTGAAAATGAAGACTGTCCTTTAAAAAGCTGTAGTAGTACTTCATATTTTACTAACCTATTTAATATCATGTATTAACTTCTCAGCACTGAATAATTAATACATAATTGATATGTTTTATATTCTTTTCTCACTTCAGGTCAATGAATACATTTTTGATAATTTATCTAATAATCCTTATTTCTGAAGCAATCATCAGTACTATCTTAAAGTATACATGGCAAGCTGAAGAAAAATGGGATGAACCGTGGTATAACCAAAAAACAGAACATCAGAGAAATAGTAGTAAGGTATTTTATGGTGTTCTTGACTCAACTGTAAAGAAAACTGTTTTATGGCACAATTAAT